ATATGGGAGGTTGACCAGCTGGCGAGGGACTGCAGGAGGGCTCCAGGGCATGTCTGGCCTGTCTCGCTGAGTCCCAATCGGCCAGACCCCAGCAGCAAGTTCACCTACTGGTCCGAGCATCTGCCCTCTGATGGTCAGTGCTTGTCATTGAGACCTGGTTGACAGGTCAACTGTCTCCCCCTGGTGGTCAGTGCGTGTCATAGTGAGTGGTTGAGTGGCCTTAGCATATCATTAGCATATTACTTTTTTAAAAAATATATATTTTATTGATTTTTTACAGAGAGGAAGGGAGAGAGATAGTTAGAAACATTGATGAGAGAGAAACATCGATCCGCTGCCTCCTGCACATCTCCCACTGGGTCTGTGCCCGCAACCCAGGTACATACCCTTGACGAGAATCGAACCTGGGACCTTTTAGTCTACAGGCCGACGCTCTATCCACTGAGCCAAACTGGTTTCGGCTAACACATTACATTTTGATTGGTAGAACAAATTACCGAATGACCTGCCACTTCGTATATTAGGTTTTTATTATATAGGATAGTAAATGCCATGAAGATGATTTAAAAGGGCCATGCCCAAGAAGGTATTGGGGTTGGGGGTAGTGCTGATTTAGGCAGGATTGTTAGGGGTGACATCCCGAGAAGATGGGAGTTTTAATCAAGATCTGAACCAGGAGAAGAAGCCCATGAAAACTTGATGTAAAACACATTCTCGACAGGGGTAAGAACAAAGGCCAAGGCTCTGAGGCAGGAATAAACTCAGCATGTTCACAGGAAAGAAAGCGGGCCAATGGGACTGGAAGGTGGTGAATCAAGGGGAGAGGAGGTAAGGATCCGATTCTATAGGGGCTTGAGGAGTATGGCAAGGATTTTAGATTTTCTTCTGGACCCACTGCAAGTCCCTGGAAAGTTCCAGGAAGAGGATTGACATTATTTGGAGCAAAGGACCAATGAACTAAAAGTGTTTTAGAATCATTCATATCCCTGAGCATTCCTATCATCAGTTTATTGTCTAACCAACAGTCTGGGCACATGAACTGAAAAGGCTTATGTGTGCTTATGGGATCAATAGGACAGAATATCTCAAGTCAGAAATGTTTGGAAAAAATCTAGGATGAATGTTCACCCTGTCTCTGATTATACTTAGCCTTCTTCATCTTGTCATGGGGAATAAAAAGCCTGGATTCTTTGGTCTGTCTGATTTAGAGGGGGTGTTTCTTAAGTGTTATTAAATAGGAATTTGAAGGAGTTCCCAAAGGAGTTGGGAGCAGATGACACAGCAGGGCTCATAAACACGTTTTTATCAGTGTCAC